GTGTGTGTGTGTGTGTGTGTGTGTGTGTGTGTGTGTGTGTGTGTGGGTGTGTGTGTGTGTGTGTGTGTGTGCGTGCGTGCGTGCGTGCGTGCGTGCGTGCGTGCGCGTGTGTGTGCACATAGTGAGTGCGAGTAAATAAATGTTCTCTCGCCATACTTTTCAATCCTCGCCCATGCGTAGACAGAGACTGGCTGGTAGTACATTAGCTGCTGCTGGTAACATCAAGAGCTATTCATACCTATTACTACCTATACCTACTACTACCTACTACTACCTACTACTACCTACTACTACCTACTACTACCTACTACTACCTACTACTACCTATTACTACCTACTACTACCTATTACTACCAACTACCTATTAGTACCTACTACCTATTACTACCTACTACCTATTACTACCTATTACTACCTACTACTACCTATTACTACCTAATACCTATTACTACCTACTACTACCTATTACTACCTACTACCTATTACTACCTAATACCTATTACTACCTACTACTACCTATTACTACCTACTACCTACTACTACCTACTACTACCTACTACTACCTACTACTACCTACTACTACCTACTACTACCTACTACTACCTACTACTACCTACTACCTATTACTACCTACTACTACCTATTACTACCTACTACCTATTACTACCTACTACCTATTACTACCTACAGTACTACCTATTACTAGCTCGTGGTAACATGCAACACGGCCCGTTTTACTAAGATGTCACCGCATTCCTACGTGTGACGTACGTGTGACGTGTGCTTTCTACTCAGAGTCTCAGCCACGCCTTTACGTGTAGATTGTACGTGTGTGCACACGTCGACTTTCTCATATATTCGCAAAATGTAATTATGTTATTTAAAGTTAACGTCACGTAAATGCAATTGACTTTTGCTTGCACGGATATGATTTATGTGTGTGTGCGTGCGTGCGTGCGTGCGTGCGTGCGTAACTGTAATTTGTTTTTTTAACTCGTCACGTAATAAGCCCATGTTCTAGTTATCTATCTAGCCATCACGTACAGGCAGCCGATAGAGGGGCATCACGTGTGCTAACAACCAACCGACACACAAGCCACCACGATGCTAGGCGTTACAACCTTATTTTCTCATTAATTATTCAACCGACTACACGTATATGCGACGGCCATACATACACCCTGTGCGCAGCTCAGCTAAATAGGATTGTGTTGTTAGGACGCGCAGCCGCCTCTGTTAGTGTTAAGCGGGGATCGGGTGACGGCGATACACAAGGATTCTTTATCCGGATGAACCGACCACGCGCATGCACTAGCCACGCGAGCATTGTACTGGCACCCTGATAGATAGACAACAGTCCCAACACGATACATGTGATATAATTGGCCAAGCTTTGCTAAATTTTCTCCAATTTGGATTTGGTCGTTATTACAAAGAACAATGACGTCAAACATTATAAAATTTATAACTCAGTCCGTATGTTCCGCTATATTCACTTCCCGTATTCGGGATGCATATTATAAATGTGGGCTACGGTACTGACAGATGCATCACGCTTTTCTGTTCGGTTTTACTTTCACATGAAATATTCAATAAGGGGATACTCTCTACACGGGCTAGCTGCTTACAGCATGCCCTGCTAGCGTACGCCGCGCCATGTAGGACACGCATGCGGATTCCACACGTATACTGTAGTGTACACTCCCTCCTCCTCCTCCTCCTCCTCCTCGTCAACCAGCCCGTGAAAGCTGTGTATGCGTGCAGCCATGCTGCTGCTGCTGCTGCTGCTGCTGATGATGATGATGGTGGTGGTGGTGGTGGTGGTGGTGCTGCTGCTGCTGTTGGTGGTGGTGGTGGTGGTGGTGGTAGGTGATGCTGCTGCTGCTGCTGCTGCTGCTGCTGCTGCTGCTGATGATGGTGGTGGTGGTGGTGGTGGTGCTGCTGCTGCTGTTGGTGGGGGTGGTGGTGGTGGTG